CCCCCCCCCCCAAGTGAGATGGAGAGGAGAGTAGGAAAAAGGTAAAACCCGTGGGTTGAGATAAGAACAGTTTAATAATTGAAATAGTAAGTAATATTAAGTAAATAATAATAATAATAAATAATAATGATGATGATGATGATAAAAATGGAGATAAAAAAGAGAGAGAGGAATAAAACCCAAGGGAAAAAGCCAAGTGATGCACAGTACAATTGCTTGCCACCCGCTGACCAATGCCCAGCCCATCCCCAAGCAGCAGTGAGCCCCTCCTGGCCACCTCCTCCCAGTTTATATACTTAGCATGCCGTTCTATGGTATGGAGTATCCCTTTGGGGTCAGCCGTCCTGGCTGTGCTCCCTCCCAGCTTCTTGTGCCCCTGCTTGCTGGCAGAGCATGGGAAACCAAAAAATCCTTAGCTTAGGGCAAGCACTACTTAGCAGCAACTAAAACATCAGTGTGCTATCAACATTATCTTCACACTAATTCTAAAAAACACAGCACTGTACCAACTACTAAGTAGAAAATTAATTCTATCCCAGCCAAAACCTGGACAGCTGTAGAACTAGCTTTTTGAGATTTTATTCACTTGACTATGCCAGTAGCTAATAAAAATTTGAAGGCAAGTGAAATGCAGTAATGTGAATAGATATGAGGCCAAGAGTGTGAAAGACAGAAGAAAAAGTATAATGAAAAAGTGTAGTAGTTGTTTACTTACAGAAATACAGCAAACTGCAGACAAAAGAAACAAAAGTTAAATTGGACAAAATTGCAGAAACTGGAAATTTTAATTTCAGACATTTCTAATGCTGCCAGTTATTTTAAACTGTGATGAAATATAACATTTTTATTTTGCAAAAATAGTATTAAAGCTGGCATATCAATATTGATTAAAATGAAGTGTTTAAAACATGAACTATGTTCTAATACTATGTGAAAATGACTTAATATTGGCTTGTAAGTGCCTCAGAAATCTAGACAACTGAGGCATAAGACTATCATGTATCACTTAACAGTCCTTAAAAGTTAAACCTGATTGACTCAAAAAGAAAGGGGTTGGAATGTTTTGTAAAACCATTATATTTGTCCCTTCTTTTGCAAGCACTTTGACTTACTGTAAAAAAGAAAAAATAATACTGGGAACCAGTGATATAAACTTCAAAGGTCTTAGCATACACATTCAGTCGTTTTGTGAATTATCTAAATATTCTCTGTGGTATAATAATACATTGCAGTATTATGTCAGAATACACCTTCTTTGAAGTTCTATTTTAAGACAAATATCAAAACTGTCTAGGAAAGAAGAGACTGCTTGAAACTAAACAGGAATTATTTTACTTGGTACAGTTACTTAATTACTGTAGTATTAACAGAATTAATTGTTTACTTGTATCTGCTGATTGAATTTCCATTAGATGTGTAAATTAACCTGATTTTTTTTTTCTAGTTCTTTGATGTAAACGCTTGGAAACAATACAGTTTATGTGTAGAAGATGCAATTATTTCACTGGCTTTTAAACTCAGAGATTGATTGCTCGATAAGAGAGCTTGGCCACAACAAATTCTACATGATTTTTGTCAGAAGCTCTTTGCTGCTTTTTTCATGAGGTGTAAACGCTTTTTAAAACCTTCTTTCTTCCCAGATTCTGCTCAAAGAGTTTGACACCAGAAAGCCACAATATGAGCAGTTAACTATGGCTGGAGAAGGGATTCTGAAGAGACCTGGTGAACATCCACCCTCCCATGAAATTGTAAAAGAGCAACTGGCAGCTGTGGCGCAAAAATGGAACAGTCTAACAGGCCAACTGAGGAACAGAAGTGACCGAATTGACCAAGCCATTGTGAAAAGCACAGAGTATCAAAGTCTACTCAGAAGTCTGTCTGATAAGCTAAGTGCCTTGGATAGCAAACTAAGCAGCAGCCTGGCTGTGAGTACACAGCCTGATGCTGTGAAACAACAACTGGAAAGTGCTAGAGAAATGAAGGAGGAAATAGAACAGGAAATGAAGAATATAAATGCAGCTCAAGCTCTTTGTGAAGAGCTGTCAGCACTGGTTGGAGAAGAGTATTTGAAAGCAGAACTTATGAGACAGTTAGATGGCATCTTAAAATCGTTTAAGGATATTGAGCAAAAATCAGGTTAGTATTTATTTAAAGAAAAATGGTAACTGAGGCATAAAGTAAAGCAGCATAGTCTTACTTGTCTTTATAGAGACGTTGAGTGAGCTGAGCCTAATGCCAGCTCTCTATCCACTCCAACCCCAAAGCAGTTGGACATTAGAATTTAGGAGAGTCCCCTTACCTTGAAAAAGTACAAACAATACTTGGGATCTCTAGTGAACAGTTTGGGAGAGAATTTGAAGCACGACAGCAGAGCTGCTTTTCTCATCTCTTCCTTCAGGTGCATCTTCACTGAATTAGAATACCAAAAGAAGGTGCTGTTCATTGAGCTACCTAACTGCATAGGTGCAGAATGTAAGCCAAAATCATGATTTTTAGGCAAATACCAGTTAATGGCTTGGTGAAACACAGTGGTAATTGTATAAAACTGCCTGTGGCAGAATGGGGCAGGTAGTCTGCAGCCTTCCGTTGCCCTATGAACAACAAAACTGAGCAAGTAATACACTGCAAGCAATGTCATACTTTGTTCTCCCTAACAGCCTCAGTTTTAGCATTTTGATTTCCTCCAGTCACAAGGAACTTCAAAGGATCTCCCTAAGAACACATACTGCCTGCAGGCTCTGAGTTAGACATTACTAGGCTAGATTACTTAATATTCCCTATGCTTACACTTCATAATACCATGAAATACAACTGTGTGTTTTTTACCCCTGAAATCTGCCTGAATGGGATTCATGTAGACACAGATTGGCTAAGCTCACCTCATTTGATTCATGTCCAAATGCCTTTACAGCTCTGCTGTAGTACAGGCACAAGTCTGTCCCTTGCAAGAAACCTGGTTGACGTGGTTGTCTTCCAGTCAAACAGCACATATGAAGGACCAGCTTTCCTTACATTAATGATTATTTATAATAGAATCAATATTAATTGTTATTTCTTCACTGAATACTAGCAGGTTCTGATAATGAACCTGTCTGCTGTTTTCTCTTTTGTAGATAACCATGTTCAGCAGCTTCAGTTGGCATATGCCACTTCTCATCAATTCCAGCAAATGTCTAAGGACTTTCAAGCCTGGCTAGGCAAAAAGAAAGAAGAGCTGAACCAGGCTCGTCCTGTATCAGCCAGACTTGATGCCTTGCAATCACTAATTGAAGAACAAAAAGATTTTAAGAAGACCATGACCGATCAAATTAGTTCGTATGAAAGAATTGTTGCAGAAGGGGAAGGTATCTTGCAGAAGACTCAAGGAGCTGACAAAGCAGCATTACAATCCCAAATTGCCACACTCAGAAGTAACTGGGATGAAATGAATAAGCAGGTTAAAGAAAGGCAAGATAAATTAACAGATTGTCTGGAGAAAGCCCTCAAATATAAGCACCATGTAGAAAATCTACAGCCATGGATAGAGAAGTGCCAAAGCAACCTGCGTGAATTAAAAGTTGGCATAAACCCTGTTGAAATAGAGAATTCTATTGTTCAGGTGAGGGCCTGGCAGAAGGACCTGGATAAACACCATGGGATGGTGGAGCTATTAAATAATACTGCTGAAAGTTTGCTCAGTGCAAGTCAAACAGATAAAGAAATTGTTCAAGAAGAAACTAAGGTGCTGAATCAGAAAGTGAATCTGGTCACAGAACAATTACAGAAGAAGAGAGAGTGCTTGGAAAACATGGCACAAACGCTGAAAGAGTTTCAGGAATCATCCAGGGAGACTGAAAAACAACTTAAAAGTGCCAAAGAGCATCTGGAAGCTCATGACTCACTTGGACCTCAGTCATTCAGTAACAAACACCTGACAATGATGCAGGGCCAGCAGAAAGCCTTGCAGGCTTTAAAGCCCCATATGGATTTAGCAAAAAAGCTTGCCCAAGACCTGGTCGTAGAAGCTTCTGATTCAGCAGGGGTTTCTGACCTTTTGCTCCAAGCTGAATATTTGGAGCGAGAATACGCTGCAGTGAACCAGCAGGTTGAAGACAGATGCTTGTTCTTAGAGACAAAACTTCAGGGAATTGGCCATTTCCAAAACAGCATCCGAGAGATGTTCTCTCAGTTTGCAGAGTTTGATGATGAACTTGACAGCATGGCTCCAGTGGGGAGAGATCTCAAGGTACTGCAATCACAGAGAGGGGACATTAAACATTTCCTGAAAAAGCTGGAAGACCTTATCATGAATAATGAAAATGCTAATAAAAACTGTAAAATGATGCTAGCCACAGAAGCTGAAGCTTCTCCTGATCTTATTGGTATAAAAAGAGACTTGGAAGCTTTAAATAAACAGTGCAACAAGCTACTAGACAGGGCAAGAGCCAGGGAAGATCAAGTGGAGGGTACTATTAGCCGTGTTGAGGAGTTTTACAGTAAGCTAAAAGAATTTTCCAGTCTGCTTGGGAGAGCCGAAGAACATGAAGAGTCACAAGGCCCTGTTGGAATGGAAACAGAGGCTATTAATCAGCAGCTGAATATATTCAAGGTAGGAAGATTTCTTTCTTACTGCTACAAAGTATTTTACCACAGTGCAATTTTATTAAATATAATTGTGAAAGGGATTGGTTAAGTGCAGACCTTGGAGTAGTCTTGTTTCACAGCAGTCAGTTCTACATGTATGCTTTTTACCTGTTTTAAATGGGATATCTTCTCGTGCTCCAGAGGTGGTTTCCTTTGCTACAGATTGGCAGACATTGGTAACTTTGCATCCCAGCTCACAGTTCCTGCACCCCAGTTCCCTCTTCACCTCTCTTCACTATCTTGTTTCCTTATGCAATTCATCTACCTTTTCTGGTTTTGAGAACTGCATATTGTCTCTATTCTGATGTCTATGTGTTACACAAACTTTCTTCTTCACTGTGCTGTAAGTTTTAGACTCCAGCGTTCACATACTAGCCCATATTCACTTTGCTCATCTGAGTAGTAGTTGTTTTTTTTTCACATGAGTGTAGGCTGCAGCATATGTAGGTTTAAGACCTTTACTTTTTGCTGTTTTCTCTTCTGATACACTGACCACTTTTACCTTGTTGAATTCCACCCTTACCTAGAAATACCCTAGTAAGAAGAAATCAGGTAAAATAAGCCCCCTTTTATGTTGGGAGTTTACTATATCATCCTTATTCAAAATGCATTTTGGAGCTTCTGTGCTTGGCTTTTTCAGTATGCCAGTTAGCAATCCTTGTCCAGCTCAAAAAAAATGTATGGCAGTGATAGTGGGTGTTAATTGTGCTTTGGTGCTGAAATGAAGTACAGATATTTGCTTGTTCTAGGTTACAATAAATTAATTTCCAGTGCTTGCTAGAAAGATTTGTAAATACTACAGGTGTAAGCAGCGTTTAAAAAAGATGGTACATCTCCTAATGGCTGTATAGTAGCACTGACTATTCTGTGCAGCTTTGATTTCATTTCAGTCTAATTTTGATTCAAATGTTTGTATGACTTGTACATTAGTTCACATTTAATCATAAAAACAAACCTTAACAGGATTTGATAAACCACGCTATTAAAAAGATGACCTTGGAATAAAGTCATTACATGCTTGGCCCAACAGAGGGGGCATTTTGCTAGTTTAAACTAAACCGTATTAGAAAGGAAAACTAGAACTGGAAGCTTTAATCTGGGAATTTCAGATGCAAGTTACTGTGTGTTTTGATGATCTTTCAGAATGCATAAATAGAGACAAAGATCTTGAACAAGTAGTTACATTACGAGGAGATTCCATTAGACTGGGAGGATTAAAATTGTACGCCGGTCTGTCCTAAGTATATCTCCATTTAAAAGAGAAACAAATGGCTTTTCTTTGTATATGGTTAGTAAAACACTCTGGATATCAGAAAATAGCAAAAGCTTATGCTGTGATTGCTCTTGCTTACGCTGACTGTACAGGATTTCAGTTGTAGCCAATTTAAGATCTCTGATTTTACCACATTTCTTGCATTTTCAAACATTAGATGCAGCTTCAGGTCTTTGTTACTATATCTATCTATCTGTCTATCTATATGTATATCTTTTTTTGGCTACAAAGAACAATGCTTTTAGGGGGAAGCAGCCTGACGAGCAGACAGTAGAAGAATCCAATTCCCTGCGCGTTGTCTCAGTGTTGTACTTCATCAGGGCATTGGACAAGACACAGCAATTGTACAATTCAGGAGTGAGAGCCTTCTCTGGGCTGTGCAGACCTGTGGGGAGATAGCGTCCCTGCAACCAAAGACCTTTTATGGTAAAAAGACCAAAAAACCTGGAGAGGCGTAAAGGGGAACAGTGATAGTCGCATGTTCATACCCAGAAGTCTACTCTACGATTGTATTTATATTAGATATTTCGAAGCTTAGAAATGTGTTTTGCTCAAAGCATCTATTTTAGGCCATGCTTTTGCTTGGGAGTGAAAATACAATGGCATAAAACAGGAGGTGAAAAATGATGAAAAGCTGAAGGGTTTGTTTAAATAAGTGAAGAGCAAATGCAGGAATAAAGAAGCAGAGGGGGGAGCCTTTGAAGAAAGGACATAGGGAGAGCAGAATGGGAAATTTTACTAGGTGACGGCAGTAAGTAGCAAAGAGATACTGATAGCAGGAGGATCAGGATCAACAATGACTCTCCTAATACTCGGTGTGAGTGCTACTGGGGCACAGCAAAATTACAGTAGGTAATTCATCCTCTTTACCCTTCCAGAGAGCAATTTTACCTGTGGCAGCAAACTGTAGGGACACCGGCTGCTACAAATCCTGCTCCACTCGTGGTGTATTTGCTCACATGATTGTGCACATACGCAAACACACACAACCTGAAAATGTGTCTGTGGCCACAAAACCACAGTCTAGCTCCTTATGGCTTCAGCTTCTGTGGTCAAGTACAATCAACTTCTATTCCTCAAGAGTAAAGCATAAGGGTTGTTCTTTGGTAGATAGATTTAGTCACATGAAATCTTCACTTTCTTCAGGGAAGGATCTTTTGAAATGGGCCAGAGGTGGGTTTTGTGGTTTGACCAGTTTTTATGTACAAAGAGTTAGACCTTTGTACGTCTTCTTGACATGACATTAAAATACATAGTTAATTTAAAATTAAACAGGCTTTGAGTTGTATTTTTTATATATATATAATACATGTATATATAATACATACTTGTTTTATTTATATTCCTTCTTTGTAGTCTACTTATTCCAGTCAGTATAGAGTGTTAAATTGAAAGTGCTTATTGTCAGTGTTAAACTATATTTATTTACAAAGCAGATATAAAATTTGCTTTCTGCAAATGAAAATCTCCAGTGGAGTTCATTTGAAAGTAGAACCATGAGTCTTACTTCACAAAGTACTCCAGAAAGAGTATAATCAAATGAAGAATATGTCTCAATTAATATAAAACACACAAAAATAATTACTAATTCACTCACCCTTGTTAGACATTTTTTTCTCCAAAGTCTGTATGCAATGCATAGACTGGTACTGAAAGGAAATTTCAGTAAATTAGGTCTGTTGGGGTACACTGAGTCTGCAACCACTCTTCAAAAGCAAAACATGAAAGAATTGTGCAGACAGGCTGAACCGAACACCCTGGGTTTGGGTAGCCACACGGTGCTAGGATTTTGCAGTAGGAGCAGTATTTGCAGCTACTTTCTCTCTGAAATAGAGAAGGAAAAAAACAAAACAAAAAAACCCAAAAACCAGAAGTTGAATTATTTTACTTCTTGTAACCTTTGCACAATTGTTTGTACTGCCATTTAAAGGCATTCTTCTTAGTAAAACCAACATGGCACTGTTACAGCTTTAATCAGGATATGGTTCATTTGATTTTTGCTTTTATTTTTGGAACATAAGTAGATATAGTCATTAGAGGTTGCCTTCTAATTGGACTTTATGGGAATTTTTAGCTAACCTGAGTATTCCTGCCAATGAGCTTGAACTAAGATTTTAATTGGCTCTTGTTACAGAATCATAGAATCATTTAGGTTGGAAAAGACCTTTAAGATCATCAAGTCCAACCATTGACCTAGCACTGCCAAGTCCACCACTAAACCGTGTCCCTAAGTGCCACATCTATGTGCCTTTTGATAGTTATTTAGAGGGTGTCTGTCCTTATTTTCGCTTTGAAGGCAGATAATGTTGAAAGAATAATCAGAGGTTTCTCTTCATGCTCAATAAGAAACTAAAAGTATTGCATTTCCCATGCACTGATATACAAACCCTGGAATAAGATACTAACCTTCCTTGGGATTTACTACGGTTAGGGTCTGTGTTGAAAATAAAAGGTAAGATAAGCAACTGTTTAAACTTCTGAAGTGTGTGTTTGAAAGTGACTGATGCGTCATATGAAAGTCTTCAGTAGATATGGTGAAAAATGGTGAAATATTGTTAGAATATTAATAAAATCATTTTGCTGTTGAACAAATATAGACCAATTTCAGTTTTATACTTCCCCTGTAAAATGGTACAGCACTCTTTGAATTCAGTACGAATCTGTTTGTGGGTGTTTTGGTTGAGAATAACCACAGATGACAGGACATCAAAAAATTCTTTTCTCATCTTTACCGTTATAGTATCTATTCTGAACTAGAGAATCCAGAGGTGGGTTCTGTTTGGCATAATTTTAATGTTATGACTGGTCACCAGGGAGGAGGAAGAGAGAATTTGTCATGTGTGACTTCAGTATTTTGCTGTAGCTGACTATATCAAGTAACTCAATAAACAAGAAGTGTGATGTGTTTGTATTTCTTGCGTACAGTGTATCCTGCTCACTGCTTAGTGTGGAAAGCTCCAGCTGATTGTTGTTAATGCCCTATGTTAAGTTTTAGCATTAGGTGCCATATGCTGTCCTTAAACTGAGGTGTGAGTTGTCAGGATGGTTGGTGGCAGCTGTCACACAAGCAGCGCAGGTCTCTGGTCGTTAGGGGTATGGTTTCTACGGGAGCAGAACACCTTGGTCATGACAGTTTTTCCTGCACTGTTGGTGAGTTACCTGTGAGTCTCCCAACCCTTCACCTACAAGGTTATGAGCTGGAAGTTTAGGTGCAAAGTGTTGAACAGTATTTAAAAGATGTAAATGTCCAAAACCTGAGTCTTTGTCCTGCTAGGCTGTTTTTGTGCTGCTCTAAGTCCCATTAAAAAAGTCTTCCAAATATAGATGCTTTTTTCCAACATTGTGGTGTTTGTTTCGGTGGGAGGGGGGTAGCTTGGCTCGAACGGTGGTTGCCCTGTCAGACAACGCCACCCTAAGCTGTTGCCTCAGAGCCAGGAACCAAACTGAAGAGAGTCAAAACTGGACCGAAGGTCTCTCTTTGCAGATCAGATGGAGTAATATGTAACTATTCCAGGACCTGATCACTAAAGACGAGTTTGGGAGATTTTTTCCAAATAATACAGAGATAAACTTTAACAACTTCCGTGTGGAAGAGTCTATTTAAATGACGGCTTTATCAGACGGGGTGATCGGGTGCGGAGGGTGGTTAAAAGCAACGCTTGTCGTTTCCAGAACTTCTCTTAGGAAGGCGA